CATGCTTCCTTCAATGATTTCATCAAGATTGAATAAACTAAATTAGAACAAATTAGTTACCAAAGTTTCAGATTTAAAGACTGAGTTTGCAAAATCCTACACTTAGAAGATTACATAGCTACAGTTTAAAGAAGGCACAGTGGGCTGAGAGGAGATTTACATGTCATAAAGGTGACCAAAAGATCTGATTGGGGAGATTCTTCCACAAATGAAACAAGCTAGATTACTTTGGGAAACTCAGACTCCCTTTTGGGTTCTTATCTCAGAAATCTCAAAAACTAAATCTTCCCATGATACTACAATTCCATGAGCCAGGTTTTAATCAAGTGAGGCTAGTATTATTGGGCAACAGGCTTCAGTCAGCCAGATCTCCAAAAGAAATGAGGCTGAGCTCCAAATAATAAAATCCAATGAAAGGAAACCCCCCCCCAAAAAAAGGATCTCATAACTCCTGCATTTGCTTCCAACTTCTGTATATGTCTCTAAAATGTGTGTTGATTGGCACAATTCCTCTGCATCCTTATTAGGCTCTTCAGACAATTACCCTTTTGCTTCCTTATTAGGATTGTGTTTCTCAGCATCACAGTTTCCTCATATTTACATGAGGATTAGACTCAGTTTCTAAGGCCCCTTCCTGCTTTAATATTCTGTTACTTCGATTGTTCTAAACAAGGTCGTCTATGCCATTTGAGCTAGGAAGTTCTCTTTACGATTCCTCAGATTCAATGTGTTACTCTCTGCTGCCCCCGGCTGGCGAGTCTTGGACATTGCTCTCTAATTCTGATCTGTCTTTTAAATAGGTGAAAAAACACAGACATTAGAGCTACTCATTGAAACAGCTAGGTGGCGCAGTGGATAGAGTGCTGGGCCTAGAGTCAGGAAGACTCTTCTTCCAGAGTTCAAATCCTGCCTCAGACTCTTACCAGCTGTGTGATCCTGGGCAAGTCACTTAACCCTGCTTGCCTCAGTTCTTCATCTGTAAAATGATCTGGATTACAGGTATTATCTTTGCCAAACAAACAAATTAAAAAAAAAAACCACCCAAATGGAGTCACAAAGAGTTGGACACACTGAATAACAACATTTGTCAACAGTCACCACCTTTATTCTTAGGCAGGAAAGGTGGTTTCTGACCAAACCCCAGCCCACAAAAGTCAATGTGTAATCACTAAAAGTAAAGAGTAAATAAGAAGGTGTTTAACTGCAAAGATAAATGTGTGACCTATAAACTTTTATTAATGTGAAGGCATTTTCTTGATTGAATTGAGTCCAAGACCTCATTTTGTTTGTTTTAACATATGAAACTGAATTGTCATTTCATACTATTTGCTTTAAAAAAAAAAAAGTATATAATAATTCCAGGGCAGCGAGGTGATATAGTAGATAGAGTGATGGGCCTGGAGTCAGAAAGATGCATCTTCCTGAGTTCAAATCTAGCCTCAGACACTTACTAGCTGTGTGACCCTGGACAAGTCATTTAACCCTGTTTGCCTCAGTTTCCTCATCTGTAAAATGAGTTGGAGAAGGAAATGGCAAACCACTCCAGTATCTTTGCCAAGAAAACTCCAAATGGAGTCACAAAGGGTCAGACACAACTGAACAACAACATAATAATCCCACACATTTATTTCAAAATTCTCCTTCTTGTCTGTCAGTACTTCTGAACTTTCCCTTCTGTGAAGTTTTGAAGATGTTTTAATAAGCCAATCTTGCCTCAAAATTTACTAGCTGTGTGACCCTAGGCAAGTCACTTAACATCTGTTTGCCTCAGTTTCCTCTACTATAAAGTGGGGATTATAATTGCACCTACCTCTTAGAGTTGTGAGGATCCAATGAGATAATATCTGCTTTTTTAAAAAAATCATTTAGCACAGTGCCTGACACATAGTCAGCACTATACAAATGCTTATACCCTTTGGGGGGTGGGGGAAGAGGAGGATCACTATTGCTAATCCCTCCTCTCTTCCCCGGTTTTTCCAATTACACCTCCTACCCTAAATAAGGCCTCCTTGGTCTTCATTACACACTTAAATCCAGAACATAGTTATCTATTCAACAAATCAACAAACATTATTCAAATCAACAAACATTAAGCACCCACTATCTATAGTACAGAACACTGTGGTAAGATTTGTGATGGATACAAAGTTTAGGTAAGACTTGTTTCCAGCGTTTATGGAACCAAGTTTGGCAGAAATAATAATTCACATCTCTATAATGCTTTGAGGATTATAAAGTGCTTTCCTCGCTGTAACTCTAAAAGAGAATGTTATCCCCCTTACACAGATGAGAAAACTGAGGCCCAGAGAGAAAAACTGACTTCCCAAGTAATAAATGGTATAGACAGGTCATAGATGTTTAGGATTTAGACTTGGAAATGACTTTCTAGTCCTTCAAGTCTAACCTCCTCAATTTACAGAAGAGGAAACTAGAAACTTTTTTTTTTCAAGATACACAGACTGTAAGCGGGGCAAAGTCAGGATTCCAACCCAGATCCTCTGACTTAAATTCAGTTCCATTTCCAGGGTTTGTTGTACATATTTAACAAATCTTCCTCAAGTTTATTTTTTTCCTTCTATTTTTTTATGTCAATCTCATCTTGCTGCTGCTGCTGCTACCAAAAATACTACCACTGTAAACCCCTGCTATGGAGAGGAGGGCTGATTCAGTGGGAGTCAGATAGATGACAGAACAACTGTAAGAAGAGGGTGTGTCTACCAGGCATCACTGGGTATGAATTTCACAAAGGGAAAAAAGGCCAAGATCAATGCACTGCTTGAAAGAAAAAGACAAGGTCTCCTATCCATAAATCCTCAACCAAAGTTCTATTTTAGGTTTGTTGGCTTCCCAGGGCTAAAGAAGCTTTTTCTTCCATGGTCCTAAAGCATCCTTGAGTGAAACTATGGCTTCTAGTTTAGGGAACAAGGACACCCAGAGGACACTGTGAGTCAGCTCAGTTGTCTGCCCTTTCTATCTCTTTGAGGAGTAACATCTGAGAATGGATGGAAAAGTAGAGCTTTCGTCTATAATGCTGTGCTCAGAACTGAGATTGGTGAGGTAGGCCACATTATCGCAGCATCGAATGAGTACTAGCCTGGGACTTGGAGGACAAGGACTTTGGTGTCATTTCTGTCACTAACCTCAGCTATTTACCTTCCTTAGACCTATTTCTTTCTCTTTAAAATTAAGGAATTAGACTAGATGGTCTCTAAATCTCTACTAGTCCTAATATTTTATGATGAGGCAAGGGTAGAAGAGGAGGAGGGCATCTAACCCTGCTCAATGTTTCCCCAACCTTACAAAGGGGCCCAGTGTATTTGCATTTTGATGGCTCTTAAAGTAGATGGAAGTGAGTCTATTTCTGCCTCTGGTCCTGGATCTACCACAAAACAAATGTGTTCGTTTGCACAAGTCCCTTCCCTTTCTGGATATCAGTTTTTGCTTCTGTAATAGGATGCCCTGGTGAGATTTGAGCAAAGATTAAAGGTCATTTGGGTGAAAAGACTGAAACACTGAAATATAAAGGGAAGGCCTTTAGATTCAAAATAAATATTCTACACCTTTAGTATAGTCTGAGGCTTGAATTGCTTAATTGCATATAAAGAAGCCAGCAAAGGTTATAAACTCGTCCCTAGGCACAAGCTATAATACTCCTATTTTCGTCCCCATTCCTCTGCCTGAAAGGAGTCTGGGAAGTATAAGTGACTGAATTATGATCACCATAAGCTAAGGTGGGAGTACCTTCCTGGGAGAACTGGCATTGAACTGGTAAAGATTGTTCCACAGGAAAGGCTAGCCCTCCCTCACCTTCTCATAGGGTTAATCAGTGAATGAACATTTACCAAGCACCTACTGTGTGCCAGGTATTGGACTGGGGATAGAAAGGGGGAAGAAAAAATCCCTTCTCTCCAGGAGTCACAATCCAGTGGGGAAGACAATATGCAAACAATTATGTAATAACAAACTGTACACAGGACAAGTAGGAAATAATTAACAAAAGGAAGGCACTAGAATTAAGAGAGATTGGGAAAAGCTGAGACTTGAAGGAAGCCAGGGAAGCCAGGAGGTAGAGATGATGAGGGAGAGCATTCCATGCATGAAGGACAGGCGGTTAGCAAAAATACTTAGAACCATGTCTTCTTTTGGAATGACTAACAGAGGGTTTCACATTTGGTCCTGGAGGTGATAGGGAGTCATTGGGGTTTCAAACCTCACAGCTGAGGCTTGAGGGAGCCACAGGAAAAAGGCTTCTATCAATCTTAGCCTAAATCTTAGTCTAGCTGAAAGCACACAGTAGCATTTAGCACCCAATTGGTTGGTTGTCCTTCATTCTCGAAGAGGATCAAAATGACATCACTGTGTCAGGGCCAAGGTACAGTTTGTCCAACTGTGGCTGATCAGACCAATATGACCTTAGAAGACTCTACCACAGATCAGGTAGAAATAGTCCATATGAACATTTGGAGATGTCCCCAAATTTTTGCGGTCTCCTGTTTCTCTTGAAATGCTATAATTCTGCTTTGCTCAACAACACTGAGTAGTTGAAGTACACCACACAACTTTGGCCCATTGGCCCATAAATAGCCTTCAGGGCATCATAAAAGCACTTTAGATTGTTACTATCAGAGTAAAACTGAATTTCATCTGCTTCTTTACTGAGTCAAAAATCTTGCATCTCTCCAAGCTTCACTTGCACTTTAATTTTGATGGAGATAAATGCTGCCTTCTTAAAGATGGACAAACTATCCTGCTGGTATACCCTATGGAATTCTCATTGTTTTTGTTTAGCAGCTTCTGAATTTCCCCATCATTTTTGTCAAACCAATCTTTTTCTTTTCTTTTCTTTTTTTTAGCTTTTTAGTGAGGCAATCAGGGTTAAGTGACTTGCCCAGAATCATACAGTTGTCAAACCA